TGGCGCGCGGCCGACGGGCGGGGGAGATCGACCCCAGAGCGGAGCTTGCTTCTGACGCGGCCGCTGCCAGCCACCTCTTCCCGGGGGACCCCCTCAGTCACAGCTCAGCGCCCCCGGAGCTGGGCTACCTACCCCAGCTCGCTCTCTCTCGCACGCGCGGTGCGCTACCAGGTCTCCCGGGCTTGGTCCCGGGGCCCCCACAGCCGCCCCTGCCCCACAGGGGAATCCAAACCAGACTTTTTTCCTCTGGGAACTTTTGACCTTCGAAACCCTCAGCGGCTGGTCTGCCAGGGCCACTGCTTGCTCAGCCCTGAGTTACCCTCCTAGAGAGCACAAACAGATGCAGAGTGTAGGCTCAGAGGTGCGCCCCAGGGTGCCAGTCCCGCCCCCCTACCGGTGGCCAAGGGCCAGACCTCCTGTCCGGGGCTGGTTGCTGGACTTCAAGCACTGAAGCGCTGCTGGGCACTCCATTAGCGACCAATTTGAAAGTGACTCGGGGCTCCGGATTAAACAGTTTATTCTGTAGTGACAGAGTGACAGGTAGGACAGACATCTACGTTTGGACAGAATTCTTGACCTTTTTTCAATTCGTTCCTCTTTATTTTGCCAAGTTAGACATTCGTACGCGGGGCACTTGTGACGCCAAGGACAGTCGGGCTGTGAGTGGAACGAAGCCTCCCGCCACGGGGGGCGGCCCCTGCCCGCCCTCGCCCTGCCGGCTGTGACCAGCTCCCTCTAACTGCCCTGTGCCAGCTGCGCGTGAGCCGCAACTCTGCAGACCTCGCCAGGCCCGTGGCTGCTGTACTCTGTGGCGGGCTTTGTGGGCACCTCCTGCGACCGCAATGCCCAGAGGGCAAAGCGCCCTGGGTCCTTAAGAGGCGCTCCGACTTCCTGGGCGCTATAACACAAGTTCAATAGTTTGGACAAATTCAAATCACGGGCGGAGGAGACCTAAGGATCCCCGTGGAGGATTGTGGTGCCGGAGGCCTGGGGGTGGTGGTGGAATTTCAGCATCCAGTTAATTCTGCCTAGAGACCCTATCTGGCTTTTCAGACCGCAACAGGAATTGGCTCCCCTTCCCTGCAGTTTCTAGGAAAGCTTACTCGGTTCTGTGCAGTTCTGTTCTATGCAACTTTGCAGATAAACTGTCGCTAAGAGGCCAAACTGGTCAGGTTTTAAACTTCTTTAAAGGGAAGTTTTAACTGCTATATATATATAAACCTTAACAAAAAGTCCAATAAAAAAAAAAGGGAAGGTTTACAGAGAGAATGGCATTCCCCAAGGAGAACCCTGATACTGAAGCCAATGGAGAAAATATAGCAGAGACCATATCTTTCTCCCCTTTACTCCCAGCCCCCATCAGCCTCAGAGTGCTCTGGTGTACATAGAAATTGCTCTAAAATTAGGAAATAAAACAATTAAATGCTACTTAAACATTTCCCAAAAAACACATGTACAAGTGTAGATGGAAGCCATCAAAATTATATACTTCTTCCCTCTATAATTATGTACACCACACAATTTTTGATGAATCCTAATATGCCATTACTCAACTTATGTAACCAAAAAGCAAGAAAAACACACCGACAATTAAATGATGACATGCTGGTGACTCTATGAAACATGTCAATTTAGGGTTGTTTAAACACGAAGAAACACTGTGGGAAATCAAAAGGTAATCAATACACGTGGCTAAAAAAATAAGTGTAAGAGCAAGGATATTAAAGAAAAGCTGAATCTCCAACTACTTCTTCTAAGAACCACACTCCATGATCACTGTTAAAAATTTCTGTCCATCATTCAAGAAATTTTCTCCACAAAATAGGTGCAAAGTCTTAATAAATGGAATAATGTGTACTCTGACTACACTTAAATGTTATCCACTTCATTGTTAGAAAATGTTTTTAATCATTTTACAGATCTGTGAAGTTTAAAAGGGTATGTTTCCCCCCCTTTAATTAGAACAGAATGTACCTCTAGTGACAAAAAGAGGGCCCCTGAAACAATGAAATGTTTAAATTCTTTGGGCATGTTAACTAGATTAAAGTATCCTTTAGGAAGGCTAAATATAATCAGGTTGGGGGAGTTAACACAATGAAGCATTTCTTAGCCCCTTTCATGTTTTCTGAAAGGTTGTAGATAGCTAATCATACAGTCACCAAAAGTTGAATCTACTTCAAAAAAGCGTTTTGAACCTAAGTTTAGCAGGGACAAGTGCAGATTCTGTGACCCTACTGAAGACTCCAGGTGATGCATGTCTGAGGGTTCCCAGGTCAAAGTTTTGAAATGCAGTTTTTGAGTCAGCAGTTCTCAAAGTTTAACATTGCTCAGAATCATTTGGCAAACTTGTTAAACCACAGTACAGGGCCCCAGCTTCAGTTTCCGTTTTAGTAAGTCTGGTGTGTGGTCTGAAAATTTTGCTTTTAACAAGTTCCAAGGTGATGCTGACACTGGAGTGATGTGGGGCTTAAAGGGTGGAGACACTGAAGATCACTTTTTTGAGAGGAAGAAAGATCTGAGCAATATTATTGATTCCATTATAGCTTGTGTGATTTTCCTTAAGTTGCACAACATCTAAAGCCGAGAAGAGCATAGTGTTTATTATGACAACCATGGACCTATGAGACATCAGGTATATGCAAATACACATATATTCTATGCTATTTTAACTTTTGGGTACTCTTTCTGCTTCTATGTTTCTAATTTTCTCACTTACATTTTTGTACTTTTAGTACATTTGTATGCTTCACAAATTTAGTATTGCTTTGTATATCTTAGCTATTTACCTGGAATATTTCTGCAGCTTGCATTTTTCTAGATTTACATAGGGGCTATTTTGCTGGTTGTACAGTTGAGGTTGAAGATCTGGGAACCAGGAGTTTTGATGTTTGAGGGCAGAAGATAGATGTCCAATTTCAAGAAGGGAGAAGAAGAATTTGCATTCTATTTAGGCCTTTGTGAGATTGGATAATGCCCAGCTTTGGTGAGGGGGCTCTTCCCTACTCAGTCTGATTCCAATGCTCTTTTGAAAACATCCTCACAGACCACCCCAAATAATTTGTTGTTAGCTAATTGGGAATCCCTTAGCCTTGATGTATAAAATGAACTATCACAACTTCCAAAGTATTTTAGCTAGGAGAGTTTATACTCTCAGGAAAAACCCAGCAAATCCAGAAAGGCAATCTATAAAATCTATGTGCATGATCTTATTTGGAGGTAAGTGTTAAGAGTGTACATATTGTTACACAAAAATCAACTCGAAGTGGATTAAATACATAGACATAAGAATGGAAACAATAAAATACCTGGAAGCAAAGATGGGCCAAACACTACACCACATATACTTCAGAGACATCTTTAAATATATAACACCCAATGCAACAATAGTGAAGGCAAGGAAAAATAGATGGGACTACATCAAGTTAAAGAGCTTCTGTACAGCAAAAGATATATTACAAAAAACAGACATCCTGCTGATTGGGAAAAAATTTTCTCACACAAAACTAGCGATAAAGGATTGATCACAAAAATATATGGAGAACTGATGAAACTCAACAAAAATAAACAACCCCATCAAAAAATGGGCACAAGAGCTAAAAAGACACTTCTCCAAAGAGGAAATGCAGGTGGCCAACAAGCATATGAAAAAATGTTCAACATCACTTGAAATAAGGGAGATGCAAATTAAAACCACAATGAGATACCACCTCACCCCAGTAAGAATGGCACATCCTAAAACAACTAGCAACAACAAATATTGGCAAGGATGTGGAGAAAAAGGAACTCTCCTACACTGCTGGTGGGAATGTAAACTACTACAACCACTATGGAAAACTGTTTGGAGTTCCTCACACTGCTAAACATGGAGCTTCCCTACGGCCCAACAATCCCACTCCTAGGTATCTACCCCAAAGATACAAAAACACTGATTCAAAAAAAAAAAAAACCTGACACCTGCACCCCCATGTTTATTACTGCTTTATTCACAATTGGAAAGACATGGAAACAGCCCAAATACCCAAAAATGGATGACTGGATTAGAAAGATGTGGTAAATAATACACAATGGAATATTACTCAGCAACCAAAAAAGAGAAACACATGTCTTTTGCAGCAACATGGATGGAGCTGGAAGGGACATGCTTAGTGAAATAAGCCAGACAGAAAAGGAAAAATACCAGATGGTTTCTCTTATAGCAGGAATATAACGGAACAGGCAAAAAAAAAAATAATGATAATGATGAACAGCTATATACCAGAGACATTTTGTGGGGGTGGAGTGGGGAATGGGATCAAAAATAGTGGGGGGGAGGGAAATGCACTGGACTATGGTGATGGCACATGGGTGATTTGGTGACAGGAAACCCAAGGGGATTGCAACTGAGATGGAAAAATGCCCAAAAATATATAAAAATAGACAAAAAAAATCGAGTGTATATGTTGTTAGCATTTGCCACCTCCCCATTCATACACAGGCCAACCTAAAGCAAAATGGGGGTCCTGAGGGGCCATGGGGTGGTAGGGTCAGTCTCCTTCTCAGCCGTCTCCTCAGCCCACTGGTGAGGGCCCCCACCTCTCTGCCATTTAGAAAGCACTGCCAGGCTCTAGGCTCTCAGCAGTGATGGAGACAGCTCTGTGTTGTGGAGCTTAAAGGACAACTTAGGGGGCACTATCTTAAACTACTAATGTTACTAAATTCTGGTTTCAGTAGCAGAGACAAAAGATTTTTCAAAAGCTAACTGAAAATAAGACCATCCAAGGCTGACCAGAATCTCATAAAATATTGACACCTTTTACTATTCAAAGACCTATGGTTTAACTCTTGGAATGTTTGAGAAGCACCACAGAACCATACTGAACCACAGCCCAAGTTGTAAAAATGACATCATAAACAGTACCACTAATTAGCACCTAATCACACATGCATACACCAGCATATACATAATGGTCAAAGATTGCAACGTGATTTCCTCACTGCCAACTTCAAACACAGGCTTTCCTTCTTGAGCAGATTACTAGAGTGCATCCTTTGAGCATAGTGATGCTTAAGTCCTGTTTTACCCTTTTAAGTTCCAGATGCTAAAAAGTGGAGTTCAGGGAGCATGAACTGTCTTCCAGAGCAAAGATCACTTAACAGTGGAAACCATGATCAAATAACATCAGAATACCTGGGTTATTTAAGCAAAAATCAAGTTCTTTCAGTTCTAAGTGCCTTAAAGGTAAAAAAAAACTTCCCCTTCCCATTAAAAAAATATGAGCACAAGTGTGTGTGTGTGTAAGCATATTTTGCCAACCCCCCCACCCCCCAAATCTTTGGCATTATGTTTGTTTAGAGCTGGTTTGCAAAACTACAGATTCTGAAGAAGCTTGAAAATTGACCAGCTCCCCTTTTGTAAGGAAAATGAGCGTAAGAAACAGGCCCTAGTTCAGAGAGAGAGCTCTTACCGGAGATACCTTGTGCAAATGAAAGATTAAGCCAAGGACAGGCTCTGGTGGCTGCAGAAAGGCTGTCTGGGAGAGGAGCTGCCTGGGAATGCTTGGACCCAGCTTGAAAGAAGGCTTGAGGCTGCCTGGGAAGGCTTTGGTCCACTTGGGAGGATGGCTAGATTGGAGGTTTGACGCAGCCGCAGTGGGGCCTCGGTGCCACCCCAGCTGCCACAGGTTAGCTGGATCCCGTCCACTGCTTCCCGCTGTGTGCCAGTTGCAGGCTCTCATCTGAAAGGCACCACCATTTTGCACTAGCAGCTTTTGACTTGGGCTACTGGACACTGCAGACGTGACCTGGGTAGGACTGCAGCCACCTGCATCCTTACGCTTTTCTTACCCAGTCCCCCGTGTAAGGAAACCGTGTTGTCGTTGCACTAAGGTTGAGCCATCTCTTGCAATTGTGAGCACAGCTCATAGTGACCTGTCCCCCACCTTTTCTACTTTCAGTAGGGCAATCCTTTACCCCATATTTCCTCCACTCACTTCTCTCCATCTCTCAACATCTTTCTTGTGTCCTTACCTGAAGATGATATTAATGTGGTGGCTTGGACAGTTTTGCTGAGTTTTCCTAGCTATCCTCCATGGATAAATGAATTATGCATGTTCGTAAACTTGTTTTTCTCTTGTAAACCTCTTATTACATGTGATCTAAGCCAAGAATTTGGGACGGTAGGGGAAAACTATTTTCCTCCTTTACACTGGTCAGGAGGCTTCTAGTGGCTCTGGGTTATAGGAGTATAGGAGTATCTGCCTTCTGACTTGGGGGCTGGTTCAGCCCTCCTGGGAGGGGTACAAGTCTTGGCTCTAAGCATCCATCCCTCTCCTATGCCCACACTAGCTTGTTTCCTCCCTATTTCATCATCACATACCTCCCTCTCTGGTCCATTCCTTCACTCATGTCCTTTCAAAGCCTCAACAAGCAACATCTGGTATTATCTTTTAAACAACCTCATTGTGTGGGTCAAGAAGAAAACATCCCCAGCTTTCCTTCAGGGTACTGGCATGATGCAAAATTCTCTATTGCATTATGATAATATTCAAACATGTCACTCAGTGACAGAATAAAGTAAGATTAGCTCCTTTCAGAGATGCCATGAAAGGTTAGGATTTGGGCTGCAAACATCTTTTCCTAATGTTGGCCCCTCCAATGTGTTTCCACTGAGTCTTTCCTGGAGCATGAAGAAGGAAACGTATGCTACTTCCTACTCTCCTGACTCCTGTCCCTGACTTAACGCTATCGGGGAGAGCTTCTTGTCCAAAAGTACAGAAGTCTGTATTAAGGTTAGCGCACTAACAAACCTCTTCACAAACTGTTGGGACAATGAATATTTTTCAGTAGTATTTGTTCTGACAAGAAACATTACCTCCTTTGTCAAAAATTTGTATAGTCTGGAAATTTGTATATCAGGAAAGCTTATTTTTTTTAAATTCAAGTTTTCCAAAATCTGTCAATCTTACATTCAAATATTAAAGTTCATTTGTACTAAATCATCAGAAGCTCACCTCCTTTCTCATTAATGTTTTGTGATCCCCTGTGGACAATAAAGCCTGCTGAAAGCAGAATTCAAAGCATTGGGGTTCAACTCAGGAGTCTGGGTTTCTGTGGAGTGGAGACAGCTAAATTTTCCCAGTAATCACAGCTCCTTTCTCTTAACAATAGAATCGTCCTTTTTTTTTTTAAAGATTTATTTGTGTACAGAGCTGGGGTACAGGCCAGAGGCTCAGGGGCGGTGAGAGGATTCACCAGAGACAGAGAGGGGAGCAGAACAGGCAGATTGACGAAGTACACTGCTGAGGGGAGCAGCGGGGCGGTCAGGAGAAGTCTGCTGCGCCATGTGGTCACCCCCGAAAATCATTTGGAAGTGGCTTTAGCTTCTCAGTGCTCTGCTTTAACCCGCTGCGCCACCAGGGAGGGTCAGAACCATCCTTTTAACCTGGGTTTTAATTGGGTCCATGGCTGCAGAGTTAGGCACCATACTTCCTAGCTCTCTTAAAAACTAGCTATGGACATTTAACTAGTTTTTAGCCAATGAAATATAAGAAGTGATTCCTGCAACCTGAAACAAATGGCTTGCTCTGAATTTCTGTTCCCCTTCCTGTTGCTCTGGATCTCTCGATAAACATGTAGCTCTGCTCACTTACCTCTGAATTGCTGAATTTGAGAAGAATGAATTTCTCTCCTGTTTCCAGGCACAGAGTTTTAGACTTCTTGGTCACTAACAAATACAATTATAAATATGTTATTTCTTTTCCTGATTAGCCTCCCCAGAACCACCTTCCCCCCCACTAAATGATTTGGATTTATTAAGACAACTAAAAAGCCAAATGAATGTAATTAAGTAACATTTATTTTACATAAAACAATTTTCAAAGAATACATTTTAAAAACCAACTAGATACTGATTTTATTGCATTACAAAAAATTGAGAGGCACAATTGCAGTATTCAAATAAATTGTGAGGAATGGCGGTGAGGGCTGTGATCACTATCCACATTGTTCCTTAGTCACTTAAAGGCTCCGGGTACAAGAGTCTTCACCATGAGGCAGTAGTGCACTTCATTTAGTAGGAATAAATCACATAAAATATATACTTTTATACAGAAAGTGTTACTGTCTTGTCACTTTCAGTTACTTATAAAAACTTCATTTTGCATTGCACAAAAGTTCTCTTCAAAATTGATAACTCTGAGAAGATAGGGCTTAGAACTAAGTATCTGTCCAAATAATTCATTACAAATAATTACGTTTCCATTTCTCCATAGATTAAAAAAAAAAACTATGAAGAATTACATTATTCAAATGGGACATTTAACATTTTTTCATAAGAAAATAGGCCTACACATTAGTCCCCAGTCAGCTAAATTTTCTCCCTACTTTAAAACAGATCACAGAATGTCAAAAATATTAGATCAGAGTACCTATACCACAGTATAACGTGGAAGTGTTTATGTTAATTCATTTTGTACATCATTTTACTGTAGTATCAAATTATCCAAAAGGCACATGGGTACATTCTTCAGAAAAGTTTTGGCTTTAAAAAAATCACACGTTTATAAGTAGTGATTTCAATCGTGTTTAAAACAAAAGTACTAAACAAATTCATTTCCCAATTTAGATGATACAGAATCCATGAAATTTCTCCAGGCACTTCACTTTCCATAGAATTTCTTGTTCAGCAGGTATATGAGAAGGTTTACATTCACTTTAACCTTATCAAACATTTTCATTACAGCTACACCTTCATATTGCATCTGCAGTAAATCCTGAAATTGTAAGGAACAGTATTAATCCTCAAATTTGGCATTTTTCGTATTTAAAAAGCATTCTAAGTGAATCTGTTGAAAAAAATAAGACTCAACTGATGCAGGAACCAAGGTGGGGGTTCTGAAACTTTAGCGTACATCAGAGTCATCTGATCAAAGCACAAGCTAGTTCAAGCACAGAATTCTGGGCTCCAACCCCAGGAAATTTGGATTTTGTAGCTCTTGTGTGTGTGTGGGGGGAGGGGGGATTAGAAGGGACCTAGGAATTGGTATTTTAACACATTTCCCAAGTGATGATGATATGATGGTCTGGATGTCCTATTTTTAGAATTAGGGATCTAGAGCATAGAAAATACTTTAAGAACTGACTGGTCAGACCAGTCTTAATAACACAGGATAGTCAGCCTGCCCCAAAAGAAAATGTTCCTGGATTGCCTGCAGTTAATATCCAGGTTTCATGTTCTTGTTTCCAGTCCTCAAAACTTCGTGGTTCTGAATGACAGATGTTTTCCGCAGAAGTTGGAAGTCATATTTGAGGCAACTCTGGCTCTTGCCAGCTTTTTCCTCCACTTCCTCACTTCCCTCCAGTTATACACAACCACATCCCTGCCATTAGATATAGTTAGGGATGAAAAATCCACAGGGGACTAAAGAACACTTTTGTCTCTTGAAGTGGAGATTAATTTCCCTCTGAGAAATGCAATATCTGTTAAACTCTCTCAGAAAAAAAGAATGAAACCAGGATGATTGAGAAGGAGCCATGTAGGTAGAGGAATTAGATGTGCAGAGAAAACAGGGCTGCACGTGTGACTGGAAGTCCAGATTTTAGTATAGGTTTCACCATTTGCTATCACATGGACCTGCGGTATCACATACTCTGAGGTGCTGTGTCCTGGTGCGCATGTTGGGAATAACACTGCCAGCCTCACAGGGGTGCTATTGGGCAAATGAAATCAAGGTCTTTGCATCCCTTTGTTGGCCATCCTTGTCAGGATCAACTGGACTCCTGGGAGCATGACAGTGGAGGCGAGGCATGAAGCTTGCATTTCAGCCACATCTTTCACAGGGAGCTCTCTGGCCTGCATTTGCGCATCTGGGACAGGAAGAGGGTCAACCCTGCAGCCCTTGCTGAACCCTGGCCACTGTGTGTGTAAGCAGACTATCTGGACATATGTCACACCCTCCTGCAATAAGCTCTGCAGCTAGAGGGTCTCATCAAGCCCCACCATTTCCTTTAGGACTGAAGAAGACCTTGAAACATGATGTTAGAAGAGATCTCTCTTTGTCCTCTCAGAAACTTCTGACTGGCTCCCAGATTTGACTCACACCAAAGACTCAGTCATCACATTTCACCTTGGCAACTCACATGATAATGTCATGGTCTGAAAGTCCTCTGTATAAACCCAAGTCTGACTTATGTCTGACAGTCATTGTGTGCTGGGTCAGCTCCTTGGCTTCCTGAAGGGGCTTGAACTTGGTGTAATGTTTTGTAGTCACTATCCTGATATTCTTGCTACTATATTTAACAAGGGGGGGGGGTTCTGCATTTTCATTTTGCACTGGCTCCTGAAAATTACATATCATCTTAATATGTTAATGATTTAAAAAAAAGCTGGGGCGTATTAGCCACCTGCGTAACGGATAAAGAGTAATATTTATATAAATATGTATATAAATGAAGGGTAACAGCTAATCCTACTGCACACCAAATTCTTACAAAGGAGCAAGTGAAGCTTGGAACTTGATCTAGTTCAAAGAAATTTCATGAAATTCCTGAGCCTCTTTACACAGGTATCTTTTGGTCACTTGTGATTCATCTGCTTTGCTCATATTAATTGGCCTTGGATGATTTCCCTCTTGATAACTAGAAGATAAATCTCTGCTGCTGCTAGAAGAATCTCTGGAAGAAACATCTGCATGCCACAAGCACATTCTTTTCTCTTTCCATATTTACCTAAGTGTTACATAAAGTAACTCAAGACTATTAAATGGATGGTTAGTGACATTTAAATTAAGTCAGCAAAGGACATTATTTACTTCAGTATGCTTTTCGTAACTGCTACTATAGTTAACATTTCTCTCTTAATCTAATTGACTCCATTATCACAGTCTTTATCATACCTATGTAGTTCCCATTTTTCTTTTTAGCTCCGGGGAATGCCAGAGAGTAAGAAAGCACTTAGGAAGCTGTTGCCAGGACAGGGAGGCAGCTTCAAGGTTCTCAGCCAGGGCTCAGTAGGCAGGCAGGCCAGAATTTACAACATATCTAGTGGTTATTCAAGGTGATTCATGGAGAGAACTTGAAGAATACCTGGAAACCATTTTACAAGTGGTTTGGGGCCAGGTAAATAGGTATTATTTCCAAAATTACTTCTCTAAACTGATCCTGCACTAAAGGTTAAGGAGTTGAGGGGCAGATGAACATTTGGTTGCAACATCCCTGCATTCCCCCACCCCTCTTTTTTTGATACATAAGTCTGTTCAAGTATATTTGGCTAAGTGTAGTTCTAGGAGAAAGTAGCAATAATTCCTACTGCAAACACAACTTTTCTATTTACAAATGCCGGTTTCACACAATCTCTTTCATTCTTAGGCTCTCAAACACAATGCACAGATATAAGAAACTGATGGGAGAACTCTTCTGGGAAGGAGGAACGGGAGAGAACCGAGATCAGGAAAAGACCAATGCTGGGCACACACAGCTCTTAGAAAGGCAAAATAAGAAAACTCTCCAACTCGGATGTGGTAGTTCTGAATACTTTCTTTTCTTTTTCTTTTTTTTTTTTTTGGCTAAGCTTCAAAATGGAAACAGGGCTTACAGAACTGGACTACTACAGCTAACCATCTGAAAGAGTTTCAAGTTCTAACAACTGGAAAAGTCGTAGCTTTTAAAACAGCAACATTTCAATGAAAATCAACAAGCAAGGTGTGATTTGCTCTTAATCTTCACTGTAATGGGGAGAACACAAGCCAGAGAACTCCTAAATGACCCATACCATGAAATTAACACAATTTGCTGAGACCCCATGCTTACCTGATACTACATGTGATCTTAGCCAAAGGGCTGAGAAGTGATCCAAGCTTACCTGAATATTGAGCTGCACCTTTTCCATCTCAACACCCAGGAATTTTGATCTGACATCAAAGATGCCCACATCTTCAGTAGATATGATATCAAATGTAACATTTTTAAACCTAGTGAGGAGGGATATTTGAACATATGGAGCAGCAAATAAAAACTTAGAGCCAAAGTTACTTAATGGAATCCTAATTATCATTCTTAGTGAATGAACTACTGGGATAATCCTGGGAAGTCACCCCAAATCCCCCATCACATTTCCTCTGCTCTGTTTCCTAAACCTAAGTCTGATGATGCTGGTTGTGAGCACAGAAATGGATACTTTATTAGAAAAGCAATACCAAGACTTTTTTTTTTCTTTAAGAGTAGAAAATAGAAAGTCTGAGAGTTGCAGAACATAAGAATTAGATGTTGATTATGCTGCTGCCTGGCAGTCAGGGAGCCTGATGTGCTGGTATGGGAACACAAGCCAGGTCACAAAGGCAGGTGCGGTTTGGATCTCACCCAGTAAGTCTGGCTGCCCTGAGACAAAGGACAGGGTGTGACGTGCATGGAGCTCAGGGTCCCTTCGGACACAGAACCACTCACAACTGCTGGGGCTGTGGGGTTTATGTTTTCTCCTCATTCTCAAAAACACCCACTCACAATACCATTTGGGTGGGGGGCTCAGACCCTGGCACTGGCTACTGTCTGTGTGGCTTTGAAAAGAGAAGGGCACTGTTTGCAGCTGTAAATGACTCTCACCCATCAGACCAACACACAGCTTTTCACTCTCACACTGTACTTAGTTCCTTGGGACAGGCAGGGGAGGCTGACAAACCCAAATGCACCAGGCACGCCATGAGAAACAGTGATTGGCATGTCACACGACCCTAGCAGCAGATGCTAAAGGCCTAGTGCAAACTTAGAGTTACAATCTAGGTATCTCCCTCGTCATCTGTAGTTGAGGGTAAGCCTCCACTGACCAAGTGACGCTCTCTTCAAAGCCACAGGGGATCAAAGAAGTGAGTCTGATTTTGTGGCAGTGACTAGAAGGGGGTGTTTTCTGTGTAGGCTCCAGGTCATACTCACTGGCTTGGCTGCAGGTCATCTATTCCCAGGAGGACACCTTTCTCATGCAGCTTGGCCGCCGTGTACCTCACCGGCTTCGATCGCTTTGTGCCTTTGGGTTCTTCTTTTCCATCGAGTTTAATTGACCTCCGACAATTTCTGACAAAATGAGAACAAATCATGACAGCAAATTTGGGTGTTTGCCAGTGCCATGACCTTGCCCAGGGTGTGCCGCTGCTCAGCACTGGCCCCCAGTACACAGTGTGCAACCCTGCTGTTTGTGGTAGTAAGAGTGATGTTTCCCATGCAGTAAAACCTCATTCCCTAGCTGTTTAAGGGGAAGTTTTTTTTT